GATGCACAAAAGAAAAGAGTAGTACGCCCATCTACTTAGCCATTAGCAATGTGCTCTTCTGTAACATATATATATATATATACATATACGCATGAGCTGGCAGAACAAGCATGTGATCAAAGAGGAAGAAGTACTTTCAAGAGTCTACAAAAAGGGTCAAGCTGTGGCTTTATAATAAATTTTATGTAATATATTATGAGTCTTCTATAGTTAGCTTTGTTTTAAAATGCCCTTTGCTATTTGTATTTATTTATAATTTCTATCTATATATTTTGTGAAGCGTTCACAATTAAAATAGCATTGTGATTTAAATGGAAATTGCATTAACAAATTATTTTGAAAAGCGTTCATCTGCATTTTAAATGAAAATCCTGTATTTCTCTACTGTCACTTTTCTATTCATACATAAACATGGTCGTTTCATTCATATCTTAAGATATTCTTCTTCAACCTCTACTTCAACATTTTGTGCCTTTGTTCTTCGTTATCACCAAGGTTCTAGAAGGAACTGACTGTGCTCTGTGTCTTCTCCTCACTTTTTGTGCTACGGTGAACACTTCTCTTGGTTTGATGAGAATCCCATCCATTTAGGCCTGTTGTGTAGTCATCTGTCCATTCAGTTTAACATCCATCCAGGATTTTTATTTTTAAATTAATCATTAATTTTAGCATTTACCTATGCCAGGATAGGTTTGGTAGAATTTTACCTTATTTTTCTAACTTTCAGCCATGATTGTGCCTAATAATGCGTTAAGGCATGTGCAGTGAACAGACTTCACATTTTAACACGAGGTTCAGTTTAGAAAGATAGAGTGAGTTCAGGACTCTCAGAAGAAAGCTCTGAAGCCAAGTGCAATGACTTTTGCTAAACAGGGGAAGGACAGAGGAGTAACAAGGAAGTTCCATCCCATTTCTACTGCCCTTGCCTCCTGCTTCCCGCTTGCTGCACCTTGTTCCTCTTCTTAGTCCCTGTTGGGACCAGTTCATATGCCTGTAACCCGAAGGAAGAATGCATAAGGCCTGGTCATTTGTGAAACCCGCCTCATGGATATTCAACGCATTTGGACTTGTCTCTTCTGTTGCTCCTGGAAACAACATGGCACAAATGTCTACACAACTCAGTGCTGCAGGATGGGGAATTGACCATGGATCTTCATATGAAGAGCATCAGTGGAGCCCCCACCTTCAATGTCATTGTCGCCATGACTGCCAAGACGCTAGGCCTGCTGATGGGCAAAGAAGGTGTCCATGGCAGTTTCATCAACAAACAATGTTATGAAATGGCCTCCCACCTTCAGCG